CAGAAACCGAACAGTATTTATATAATTTTTTACCTCTAATTCACCACTATGTCCAACTGTCTTTGTGCGCGTGCACGGCTTCCGGTGCGTGAGGTGTGTACGCGCTCTGGCGTAGTTTACGCAAGCGCCGGAAAGTGATCTCTCGCGCGTATACGTTACTCATTGTTTGCACAGTCATTGTGACGGCTAATCAAAATGGTACTTACTTGCGCTTATCCGGATCGTTCAAACCAACTTAAAACTAAAAGATTACATTCTCTCGCGCAAACTCATTCAGGAGTGGTGACTTTCCATGTATTCCCAACTTCTGAGCCTGCTCGCCTGAAGTTATGGTTGATTGCTCTTCGGCTGGATATCAACACACTGTGACGAGTCGGCTGCCTCCCCCTAATTATCATCATCACCCCGTCCCTTAATCGCCGCCCTTCGCCAGGCTCCCTACATGAGTGGGTGCGTGAGAGGAGGGGCGCTGAATTAGCCAGGGCTGGCGGCGTGTGATAGGGCACACCTGAAACGAATGGAGCCTCATCACCGCCGCTGTTTAAATGCCAAGCGCGCCTCTCCTCGGGAGACAGGTCTCTTCCCCGTGCATGCACGCTGGTGTTCTCGTGGGTCCAGGAGGGGTGCGTAGAGGGACTCTCGTGCCGCCAGAGTTGTGAGCTGCCGGACCCGCAGTCCGGACGAGAACCGCACCCGTTACACGGCCGTCGGGCAAGGATGCTGGGCCGTCTAGTCCCTTCAAGCGCCGTGGGCAAAGAGAAGGATGAAGCCGCTGATAGAAGCCGCCGTCCCTCGCGCCCCGGACCGGAGAGGGGAGCGCGTGCGGCCGCCGGATTCCGCCCCTTACCTGAACCCTTCCTTCCTGAACACTGTCCTTCCCTTCACGAACCCCGCAGCACGACGAGGACACCAGATCCCCTGTTTATTTTGGACACTTGATTCCCTTTTTTCTGGACACTTTGTTTTATTTTCTGTTAATAAAAGCCTCTCCGAGGCCTGACGCCACACCCACTGTGTCTGTCGTTTGCTCCTCCCGCGACAACACCCATTAACGTAAACTACGCCAGTGCGCGTACACACCTCACGCACCAGAAGCCGTGTGCATGCCCAAAGACAGTTGGACATAGTGGTGTATTAGAGGTAAAAAGTGATATAAATACTGTTCGGTTTCTGGCACAAACCGATCGTTTCGTGTCTTAGGACATCAATGTGTCGTCACGAGCCACAGGGTTTAATTTGGATTTGTCTGTGCATGTTTTTTTTACTCTCATAGATTTTGTTACCATTGCCATGCATTATACGACTGATAGACTGCAACGGTTGGACTTAAAAATCATCATATGTGTTCTACTGAAGAAACAAAGTCACCTACATCTTGGATGCCCTGGGGGTAAGCAGATAAACATCACATTTTCATTTTTGGGTGAACTATCCCTTTACGGTTAGAGTGTCCTATACGGATCCTGGTTATAACAGTATCTTCTCTTCTGTTTCCATAAACCTTTCTTTCAATCCCCACTTTAGGTTGAATGCCAAACCATTCTCAGTATGGCCGCTGTCGTCTTATTATTATTTTTCTTGGTTTTAATGACGGTTGGCATACAACTTCAAGGTGCATTACCGCCACCTGCTGGTTAGGAGTGGCCAAAATCGCACAACCCTTTTCCTAATACCTCCTAAACACCTACATTATTTTATCTAAATCAGTAATTTCCAGATATAACATAAAAAAAATCAATACACTCATCATATGAGTTCCTTTGCAATATGTTTTTCAAGTCAAATTTCATATTAATTATTTTCAAATAAAAAAAACAATATTCTCCTTTCACTATTGGACATTTCATTATAACGTGTTCCACAGTTTCCTCTCGATTACAATGTTCACATTTTCCTGTCTGATGTTTCCCTATTTTATTCAAGGTACTGTTAAGTGTATGGCCCCTGTCATCTTGATTTGACGTCATTTGGAGCCCGAGTCTACGCAGTAGTGATCATGAGCTGGAGCCGCAGTCTCAAAGTCCCGCCCAAACTCACGCAGACCCAGTCGCAAGCTCACAATCGTGACACTACACCCCGTTTCAATAGCATCAAATAACTAATTACAAGCAAACTCATTAAAAAAACAAAAAATGTCTTTTGGAAAAAAATATTTGAAGTGTGATTTGATTGTTTAGTTTGTCTCAGGTCCAGACAATTATTGCCCAGAATGCATTGTTTTCTACAGTACTTATTATTACCTGATATTTTACCAGAAAAAAAGCACATTGAGATTAAAAATCTCTTTTATAAGAGTGTCCTGACCAAAATTGACAGCAACACAGCTCACATGGGTTTAACAGATAACTTTCACAACATTTTCATGCAAAATAGTATATTACTGTCAGAATTTGGCCATTTTTACGGCAATTTTTTACAGTGTGATTACACATCCACTTGACAGACTGTGTTTTTGTTCAGAATGAAATACTGTGTTGCTGCTTACTGAATACAGCTCAGTATAGGATGTGAAACAACGCATTCAATCTTAAATAACTCTAACTCTTCAACTAGTTGTCATATGACCTCAGTGGCGTCGCTAGGGATTCTGGGCCCTGTTTATCTGTTTATCTCTCTGTGACGGGTGTCGAATATCATTGTCCTCATAAACTCACTCTACTACATGTATGATCATTTATTCAGATGAGACGCTTACACTGAATGTACAAGCTTCTGAAGTTCTCAGCATAACATATAAAACACCATTAAGTAAAGAGAACAAAAAATAACACACATTCACTGTAAGTCTTGTGAATGTTACAGATGATCTAATGTTGAATCACATTAAACCTGTACTGAATCAGACGGAGGAGAGACCATCACTCTTCTGTCCACATCTCTCCTCTTTAACATCAGTGTTACTCAAACACAGGAACTCAGATGATCAGATCATGTTTCTGACTAGTTCACTGAAAGAGCTCCGTCTTATTTCTTCACAGATTTCCCCAGATCTACACTGACTGTAACTCCAGACAGTCCTGCATTCACTGGAGAGACAATCAATCTGAAGTGTGAGATTGAGTCTCACAGTAACTGGAGATATGAGTGGTATAAAGGCACACACAGTGTAATGTTACAGCCGTCTGAGCGTCACACTGTAAACAGAGACACTCTCACTATCAGAGGAGTGATTACATCTGATGCGGGTCAGTACTGGTGTAAAGGACACATAGATGGAAGATCAGTCTCATCACAATCAACCTCTGCTGTTTCTCTCACTGTGACGGGTGAGTTTACTATCATTGTCCTCCTAAACTCACTCTACTGTGTCAACATCTATTCAAGAGACTTTTTTTTTTTTTTTTTAAAGGAAAGTGTCAACATCTATTCAAGAGACTTTTTTTTTTTTTTTTGGAATGAAATGCTTACTGCTTACTGAATACAGCACAGTAGTTTATATTCTGTATTTTATGTTCAGCACAGTCTTTTACATACTGTAAATTTCATACTGTTTATTATTTCAGTTTTAGAATGCATTATGCAATGATAAATGATGACCTCAACACACTGCCTGTTAATTCAGTTATTTATTTAATGTCCAATTATAAGCTCAAAATAAATGTGAATTTGAATAAATATAGTCTGATTTAACACTCTGGATAAATTTGCACATGACTTCTTGACTAACTGAAGGTTTATTGCAGTCTTAAATGATGTACGGTAAATATGGAATAATATGTAAATATCAATACAAACAACAAGCTAACTATATTTATTTAATGCAGTGTTTTTCTCATTATGAGGTTCATAACAGTGATCATGATACTGCGATGCTGTTACAGTCCATATTTACTCATATGTGTATTAATACAGCGAGACCAAAACCTGTAGTGAAGGTGACTCCAGATCAGCGTGTGTTCAGAGGAGAGACAGTCACTCTCACATGTGACATACAGAGAGGAAACATTCAGTGGACATACAGCTGGTTTAAAGATGGAAACACTTTCTATCCATACAGAACAACAACAAGAACAGCAGAGTTCAGTTTCAGAGCTGATTATGTGTCTGATAATAGTGGTGAATACAGGTGTAGAGGAGAGAGATCAGCTTCACAGAGATCAGACATCAGTGCTGCTGTTACACTGACTGTATCAGGTGAGTCTTCAGATTCACATCTGTTTTAATGTTCATTTAACAGTATTTGTGGCTCAACACTTTTCTTATATTCTTCTGTATCAACCACATCTGTTCTTATTAAAGCCTGAAGCAATTCACTTTTAGATGCAGAACTGCATATGCATATGAAGCCTCAGTAGCAAGTTCACTATTCAGTATTTTGTGCACAAACAAGTAAAATGTAACCATAATCATTTATGTTTTATTTTCTGGGCAAACATGCCTGCTTATATACAGATGAAGCTTATTATTATATCTTCAGGATGCATAGACGTCAGAATTATTTTTCTGATGCAGACAAATAATCAATGATTTGTCTAACACTTCTGAATTTTTCAGGCTCTGAATTTGTTCTTGTTCTCCTGCAGATCTGAAACCAAAGCCTGAACTCACGTCAGATGCTGCAGGAGCTGCACTGACAGGAAACACAGTGACTTTGTCCTTTAAACTCATTTGATCTGTAATGTTACACCTGTCAACGGTTATTAGAACATGTTTTCTTGACAGTGAAGATGTTCGGTGACTAGAAACCTAAATTTAATAGATATCTAGAGTGTTTGTTCCTCTACAATTATTCAGCCTGTAGTAACTGCTGGTAAAAACTGCTTCGCTAGCGCCACCAGCAGGTCAATTTATGAAGAATTTGGTCTTCACTAAGCATCTCATAATCTTTAGACTGATTGCAAATGGATTTTTGATATTGAATCTTGTTTGAAGTAATGCATAAATCAGTTGGACACATTATATGATACACCAGTCAGGGATGTATTAAATTGTTTAAAAGTGACGGTAAAGACATTTATAATGTTACAAAATATTTATATTTCAAGTAAATGCTGTTCTTTTGTTCTTTTAACAAAAAAAAGACTATGTGAAAATCTGAAATGTCTTTGTAAGTGGATCTCAAATGACACAAGCTGCATAACTGGGTTTCATCTCTGTTTCAGGTGTCTCTGCTTCAGTGTCTCTGGTGGTCAGTCCCAGCAGAAGTCAACACTTCTCATCTGACTCTCTCTCTCTGAGCTGTGAGGATCAGAGTAACTCTGCTGGATGGACAGTGAGAAGATACACAGACAGAAACACAGAAGATTGTTCAAAACTAACAGGATCTACGTCAGTGGAGTTCAGTCACTGTCAGCTGATTCAATTTCATTCATGAGCAATCAGTTACAGACAGCTGTTTATTATTTCACATAACATAAATGTATCAAATCATATACAAAATATACTTAATATTGTGCTGTTATTGTAGCCAACTAAGTGAAATCATCACCTCATTGACAACATCATATAATTCAATATTATCACTCAACAGCCTTAAAATAAAATCAGATCAAACATTTTAGTGACGTTCCTGTCCATAAATAAAATTATTTTCCATTCAAAATCAGCTAGGAATAAATCTGAATGTGCTCGTGTCAAGTACAGTATTTTTAGAGTGAGGAGGAGATCGGTGTATCCCCTAACGAACATTGAAATACATTTTCATAAATCAATATACAGGCAAACAAATGTGCCATAACAGTCTAATTTTACAGACCTACATTTCATTCTTCAACATTGTCTATTAGTGTTAAGGAAGAAACACTGATGTTACATGTGAATGCATAATGTTAAGCCGATTTAGTTTGTGTTATGTCAATTTAATATAGAGCTTATATTGTTCAATAATGTGCTTCTGTTTGCTTGTCCATCTGTTTTTCAGTGTCAGGTTCAGGTCAGATTTCTGTCTTCAACATCCTCAGTTCTCTTCTGGCAGCTTGTCCGTATCTGCTGGCGACAGTCGTGCTGCTTTTCAAATGCTGCAGAGCGAGAGGTAAAACTTCTGTCTGATCCGTCTCTCTCCCTCACAGAGTCTTTTCTACAAGCTAAAAAATAAAAACTTGTTTGTGTGTGTATTTCACAGTTCCATCTGCTGAAGACCAAAGCCAGTATGCAGTGAGAGAAGAAACTTCAACCTGATGTTTTAAAAAAATTCAGAATATTTATCATACTGTTATTTCTGTCAACATATTTGATTTACCTTATATCATTTATATTTGAGTGTTATTCTGCTTTTATTTCCTCATTTTTATATCCTCAAAAGAAAGAAAAAAAAAGATTTTGTTGGTTTTGGTCACCAGTTGCCTGTTTTAGATCACTTAAGTATTTAGTTAACATTAGAGACCAAAGTTTTATTCTGTGTCACATATTCTATATAAATGAATAAATTAAATTAATGTGTATTCCAAAAACTGTGTAGCATTATAGGAGTAAAGAAATATCTCGGTTTGTCTTGCATGTGTATCATCGTTTGTAATTCATCATCTAATCCAAAAACAATGTCAACTATGTCTTATATATATTGAAAAACTGAATGTGAGGGACATCATTATTCCTTATAAAACAATTTAATAGAACAGACCTCGACTGACAAGAGGTTGTGATTTTTTTTTTCTTAAGACGATTAAAAAGGTCCCTCAAGTTGTCCATATTCAGAGAAATAGCCTCTTAACATTTATTAATCTTCTCAAAAAACAGGCTGTTCCCTTTCATGGGAACTTCGAACTGCGTCCTCTAGGGGTCACTATGGGGAACGCCTCGTCGTGACCCGTGTCTGAAGCATACATTGAAAAAACACCAACTCGTTGGCCGGCAACAGCCATGACGTCACTACCGGTGCGACTATAGTATAAATAGGCGCCGGGAGCTACACATCATTCTCTTCTTCGTCTTCATTGACTGTTTTGTTTGAAGCGTGCATTTCTGTGGTAAGAGCGATCTCTATTTATCTCATTATGGCGAGCACTAGCAAAGCATTTAAGGATGTGTGCATCCGTGTTGACGTTGTTTAACATCTGATGACACACACGATCTATGCGTTGTTTGTTTGGGCAAAGAGCACGCACGCGATGTCTCCGAGGGGGCAATCGGCGTGCACTGCGAGCGTTTTTTTTCCAAGGGAAAAGCTCCGCTCTCTTTTGTCTCTCTTTTCGAGGAAAGAGGGGCAGCCATCTGCTTCCTGCGATTCAGGACCCGCCGCTGCTGAGGCACGGAAGGGAATGAGCTCGTGGGGTGTTTTTTCAATGTATGCTTCAGACACGGGTCACGACGAGGCGTTCCCCATAGCGACCCCTAGAGGACGCAGTGTCTCGTTCCCTACTCAGGGAACCATGGTTACATAAGTAACCTGAGACATTTGTTTTTGAAACTGTAGACAGATGCAGAAACCCTGTGCTGACGAAAAAGTGACATTTTAAGATGAAATGTTTTGCTTTACTTGCTATATGGAACACAACATCCATTTCTTTATTTTTTTCCAAAAACCACTAAATTAACCTTTTTATGGCAAGCCGTTTTAACATTTAATCTAAAAACCGCACTAGTATCTAATTTAACATTACTAGTACTTGTTTTTTAGATACTAGTATCTTTTCCATTAAGTACTAATACTTATTCATTAACTACTAGTGGTTATTCTTTAGGTACTAGTGCTTATTCTTTAGATACTAGTACTTAATCATTAGATACTAGTACTTATTGATTAGATACTAGTGCTTATTTATTAGGTACTAGTACTTATTTATTAGATACTACTACACAGTAAAATCCCGAGTGTTAAATTAACACTGCTCGGAGCATATATGGTCCCACTCTAAAAGGGTGTTAAAGTAACACTGAAGCAGTGTTAAAGTTAATGAGATAATTATGTGATTAATTAAGTGTTGATTGAGCATTAGTAATGAACAGCTGCTGTTAACAAGCACAATCACTGAAGAAAAGAGAAACAAGACTCACAACTGACTTCAGCCACAGCCTTAGATGAAATCAACTGAAATAAAAGACATTAAATCTCTCAAGATCTCAGCA